ATTGTTTATGGCCTTTGGGGACCTCAAAACGAAAAATTAAATTGGTCCCGGGTCAAGGTCTTACCATGAGACCTACGGTAATAGCTCATTCCCTATTAAAAAAAGTAAAAAATAAATTGAAAATGAAAGCGACAAATCCAAAACTGGCAGTTTTGTAGAAAAAGTTTAATAAAGCAGTTCATTTTCTACAATACTCAGTAAACAAAATTTGTGAACAGTGTTTATATTACTGAAACAAATCAGGTAAGAAGCTAACAAAAACTCTCCTGTGACAAAACATACAAGAGGTTCAATATTATGTTTTATATTATATTTTTATGGATTGAAAAAAAATAATAGTATTGTGTTATTGAAGATGTTTTTGTTATTCTATCTTATTCAGTTTAAAATTTATTACAAATATTTGTGCACAGATTTACTTCTTCAGGTGGCACGGAACTTAAAGTGTTTAAAACTGGTGTCTGTGGAGTTTATCTATATATATAAAAGGCAAAGCCCTCACTGACTGACTCACTCATCACTAATTCTCTTACTTCCCATGTACCTAGGAGGCTAAAATTTGGTACACTGATTCTTTAGGCATTAAATAGGAAAACTATGATGTTTTTATTCTGATCGGACTCTTGGGCTCCGCCCCAGTGGCTCTGGAGTTTCCCATGTTAACCTAATGATTTGTCATATTCAAAAGGAATTAATGAATCTTAACAGCTGTTTCAACTTAACAAGTTGGTTCTGTCTATGATGTTCAATAGCATTAAAGTTACAAGGATTACCAACAGGGTGCAGCACTATTTTTTCTTTTACATTCATGACAACAGCTAATTTGCAACCAAAAGGTGTGTGAGCGTAGCGAACGAACTTCAACCTGGAGGCGAGTTAGCGTAGCGAACGAGCTAACCTAAAGGCAAGTGAGCGCAGCGAACAAGCTCCAACCTAAAAGTGAGTGAGCGTAGCGAACGAACTTCAACCAGGACATGATTGAGCCATGCGAACGAGCTCACTTATGAAGTTAAACGGGGCAAAGCCCGCGGATACAGCTAGTAACTTATATATTATTAATCATGAAGCATAGAATGAAAATATAAACCACTTAGCTAGGTTAGTGAGTTATCTAAAAGGGGTTTTTGTGATTTCAAATCAAAGTAAAGGAATACCGTACTACTTAAAATTCAATAAAACAAACTTCTAGAATAGCAAATTACAAAATTGTGATGAATAAAACTCATGGCAAATTTTTTTCACAGTTTCATCACAGTTCAGTCTCAGTTGCTTAACATATATATATTGTACAACGAATATAAATCCTATACAAGACGAATGCGACCTCTATAAGACAAATTTCTTATGTTCTTAACCTTGATAGTATGTAGTTTTCAAAACAAACAGAAGCTTGTCTCAACATGAAACCCCCACCCATCCCTCTTCCTTCCTCAGTCATTGTTTGGCACATGCCGCAGAGGAGAAACTTCTATAAGACGAATAACGGCAGTATTAAACCTCTGTATTGAGAATACCTCGATTAAAATTTTTTCCTCTATCCCTTGAAATTTGTCTTATAGAGGTTCGACTGTAATTATAATATACTAATAACTATTCTGTTTATTGATCTGGCTTAATCAAGATTAGGAGTGGTGTAAAGATAATTCGGTTTTAAATGTATGGAAACAGAAAAAAAATATTATAATGATCTAAAAATTTAAATTCAAAATCTGTTTTAGTAATGACATCAAAGCTGAAAACACAATATTTTAATTTTTGTACATCTAATTGAGCCATTAGTGTTTTTTGTTTTTTTTTCTTTTAGGAAACAGTAGGTTACAAACACTGGTCTTGTTCCAATCTAGTATTCATTTTTTATATGTTGCATCATTAGTTTCAAGCAGTGGCAGTTCAAAGACCTTGTCAAAGAGGGGGGCGAACAGGGCCGTTGCACACCAAGAGTAGGGTCCAGAGGTCCTCCCCCAGATAATTTGCTATTTTTAAGGTGTTTGGTGACTTATTGAGGCCATTTTTAATGCAAAAAAAACTCTGTTAACTATGTTTTTATGGCAAAATTTAAAATCATATTTCCAGAGTCCAACGGGCGGATGGCTAGCCCCTAAAACCCCTACCCCTTGGAACCGCACTGTTAGTAAGCCCAATCACAAATGGCATTAGATTAGTATTGAACTTGTTTGAATTGAAACCAACCAAAACCTTCAGATTTGGTCACATTAATCACTTGGCTACTCAAACAATTCAATATAAATAATAGGTATTTAATGTAAAAATATGGACTCTGTCTTTAAATCACTTCCAAGTGTATACTTGTTTCTGTCCTGAAACAATAGAGATTTTTTCCCACAATGTGGGTTTATGGAAATAAAGAGCTTTCAGTATTCTCCAGTTAATTTTCCAATGTTTGCCCGTACTAAATGAATAAATATTTTCACAAAAGATCCCTATTTTTCTCAAACCACGCACAGTTAAAACAATTTTTATGAAGAATTGGAAGTGGAGCCCTACATTTTAATGGTTTGAAAGTTAAGAACAACTGCTATGGAATGTGTTTTTTGGAGAGTGCAAATACAAGGTAGTGGATACAGACCAGTTTTTACGGGAGTTTTGAGGGGTGGGACAGAAGTTTTACCGTTTTTGGCAACCTGTGACTGCCTCGCTCATCTCTTGTTGAGAGAGCTCCGCCCGCTGTCACCTCCACAGACAAATGACCCCAGGAGTCCATCCTACACCGCAACAGACAATGTCAATCCTAACCAAGGCTACACATGATTTTACATGTATTTATCAAAAACAAGAGTTAACATTTTTTATTTTATGAGTGTTACAGCAAACACCTTTATACACAAGTTTTATAAAAATGCTTATTAAAAAGATTTATTTTGAAAAATTGTAGCCTTACAAAATAGGTACCTATGTCGACATTGCCTCAACTCAATCACTTAAAAAACGGAAAAAACTTAATACAATATAAAATAGACATCATATCAAGCTAAATTCATAAAAAATTTGATGAGAGCCCAAAAGTAAGGTCAGATCAGCTAAATACTGATGTATTTCAAAACCCATGTTTATCATTCATCAAAAGTCATCATCAATAATCATTACCGGTAATTGATTAATTGCTTCTTGGTATCATCTTCTAAATGGTAATCTAAAAGTAATTTGTTTCTCTTACACTAAATTTTATTTCAGAATGTAAAACTGCATAAAACATACTAAGAAAGTAAGACATTCTAAAAGTATACAAGTTTTAGAAATCATTTTCATATAAATAATTTTAAATAAACCCTAAGCATTTTCAATAATAAGAATTTGTTTTACATTTACAATATTACTGAAGTCAAGTATCAAAAGTCCCCCAGGGGCCGAAATATATTGTAAATTTTCTGTGTCTTGTGTGTGTGATCTATAACTTACCTGTCATTGTTTTAAGATAAGCTAGCTGTGATTCATGTATAAAAAAAAGTGATTGGTTAGTCCCTGACATATGATTTATAACTTATAAAAATTATTATGAGACATTTAAAAAAATGTTATTCACACTGTGATCTTTAGTAAACTAAGTGAACTCTAAAAAGATTTTATTTAATGGGACAGTTATTTGAAAAAAAAACATTCATTTGAGCAAGTATAGTTAATGTAGCATACTTTATTTTTGAAATTTAAAATTTAAAATTTAACTCGATACAGTACAAAAAAATAACAACAAAATGAGGCATTTTTGTATTAATAAATGGAAATACATAGTTGTATTAACTAAGAGTGAATAAAACTAATCAAACCTATAATTTAATGTTACTGACCAAACTAATTCAAGATTTTTATACTTAATATGAACACTTACTTTAACCAAATATGTTGCTCGATAAAAGTGGACTGCTCATCTTGAGTTCATCTTGCCAAAAAAGTTTTAAGCTTGATCAATCACCTTACAGAAAATTATCTGGGCAGTTAAATAACACTCATCTACAATACAATAACAAAGGTGCTTAGCCCAAACAATTTTGGTTATTAATTAAGAGCCGCAGCAGAGTAGCGCCTCTGGTGACTGATTTGGGAAGTGCGCAGTTTGACAGGTGCCTATTGTTAGCTCATCAGTCCATTTAAATTGACACCATTTTGTTTAATTGATCAGTATTTCTTTTAGAACATAACTACTCACCTGTTTAATTGGTCAGATGTTGACTAAAAATGGAGAATCAATAATCCTATGAATATTGCCCTGCTAACAAGGGTTTTATCTGAACACTGAACAGTGAACAGTTCTGATCTGCTCATCTATTTTTGGGCACAGACTAACCAATCTACAGCTGATGGATAAATTAATTCAAGCCATTTACTCCACAACTACACACGGGACTTTTGAAATATCAATGGCCTACCTTACACTTTCCCAGACCCTTGACCCCAGGGGAACCCCATTTACTTTCCTTCTCTTTCCTTTTCTTACTTTACTGTGATTATAAAGTTATCAATCAGTTTGTTACCACTACACTGATAACAAAATCAATTTTTCAAAAATTTCTAGCGCAAAATGTGTATGAGGATGATTGTGTTTAATAGTTGAGGTTCGAACGGTGATTTTTATAACTATGATGATTGACACTATTTATGTGTAGGAATGTGCATGAAGTAAATAAAGAACTTTTTGATTTAATTTGATTTGAAGAAGCTTTGCCAACCTCATATAATTATCACAACTTTTATTCACCCAAAATACCATTTTATGTATGATATTTATGAGACCTTTGACTATTGATAGTAAATGATGAGACGGATCCCACAGCATTTCATACATATAAATTAAAGTTCCTACAGCAGTTCTTACACGGGGACAGATGTTTAGGGAATGTTCCCACAACAGAACTATGATTAATAAATAACATTGCAAAAGTGCATTCTGACTTAGAATTCTGCCAACTAACACTAACAGACAGTTAGTAATAGCACATCCAATGGCTAATACAGTTAGCAAGCTTGTTTTTCACACATTGGTCTACCGTGTTAGGCCGACGACGCTTGCTGCCTGATGGGTCATAAGGATCTCCAGGTTTGTAGATATTCATTGCTGACTCCAGACTGAGCGAGTTCCAGCATGACACTCGTCGCTCCATTTCCTCCTCTGAAACCAGTGTGGCAGATCATGTTGATTCACACAAGCAAGAATTGGAACATTCATGAAATATATGAATGAATTTCTTAATAATGTGAGGGCCATTTTTTAAGAAAGGGGCATTCAGCTCGTAGTTTGGGTGTACGCCGCAACGAGGCTACTTGTCGCTTACAGTTATCATTTTTGAACTGAATGACACCATTTGCAGCTCTGTAGCTGATGTGTACGCTTGCTGTGTGTTTTAAAAATCTTCAAATTTTTGAATGACCCGCCGCCGTGTGCGAGATAAGGTCAGTGATACATTTTTTGATTATAAGAAACATACAATGCCAACATTCATCACCAGATAACTGAAGGTTATGGTCCTAATGTAATGAGTAAGGATAAAGTGCGTATGGGTTATGGAGTGCAAAAATAGCTATGAAAACCTTTTCTCATTGTGGTCCTCTGTGGGAAGTCTGGGTAGGTACCCACCAAAACACAATCCATTTGAAAATGGAACATTTTCACGGTAATTTTTGTATTCCATAACCCATTTCTGCACTCTCCCCTCTATCATTGTTCTTCAGTCATCTGGTGATGAAAGTCAGCATCGGATATGTTTCTTGTAATAAAAAAAAACTTATTACTCACTGATTTTGCACGCTGTGGGACATTCATCAATACTGTAATATGATTTTTTTCAAAACACACATAGCTAAGCGTACACGTCAGCAATAGAGCTGCAAATGGTGTCATTCTGTTCACAAAGAAAGTGACAAGGAGCCTTGTTGCTGCGCACTCACAAACTATGGAGCTGTACATATGGCCCTTGCACTTACAGTAGCTTAATAATTTAGAAAATGAGTTTGTTATATATGTATTACTTGAAGAATTTTTATCATATAATTTTTAATTTTACTTTGAACTTGTAGTATTGGATGGTTCTGGCTTTAATTTTGATAGAAGCAGATATCCCATCAGCTTGTTTAGGTTAAAAAAGTCAGTTTTTTTAGGAAAATTAACACAGTTGAATTGAGCCTCTGTCAGAGTGTATTGTTGAGAATTACTGACTTTTGTTGAATACAAGTTTTGCTATACAACTTATAACCAGGACTGAAAGGACAATTTACCTCTTAAACTATAGCATCTGTTTTTTCATCATTATCTATACATATAAGTATAAAAACTCTTGTTTGTTCCTTCGGGCGTCAAATATATCACAAAAACTTTGCACACCTAATTAGTAATTATTATGTTAATAAAGTTAAATAAGTTAATTTTATCTACCGGTATTGTTTAAAATATAGGGTAAACTTTTGTTTTCAGGAGGCAATAGTATATTCGTACCTAGGGCCAAAAATGAGGTTTTGCCGGCTCAAGATAGTTTAAGTTCGAAACGAAGTTGAGAGAGCTGCAAAACCATTTCGGTCCGTGGTACAAACACTATTTTTCACCACACTATACCCTATTACCACTAATGCACACTAATAGTCAACACAACTACAACTTTTAGGTTAGAGAAAATAATTTGAGAAAATCAGCAAAAATAATAATAAATAGTTGCTAGGCAGTGGTGACAATAAAACAATTCTATTGCAATGCTATGGATACTGATATCCTTATATATAATACGTGAAGGCGATTTCTACAAAACACTACTCCTCCGATAATAATGGACGGATTTTTACAAACGACGTGTCAAAATAAAGTACTTTTTGTGTAGATGCCCCCTTTCACAAATTCGTGTAATAAAAATCCTCGGGCTTTGCCCTACAGGCCATAAAAGTTGGAGTTTCTCCCATAAGATTAACATGGGGGAATCTAAATATTCAATTGGAAACTTTGTCTCCACTAATTTGAGAGAACGGCTGGGCGTAGAAACTTGGTAGGGGTGTCAAAAGAAAGGTCTTGGTCTGTAGATGAGTTATCAAAAGAAAAACGAAGTAAATTCCCTTAGGGCTCTGCCCCAGAAGCCTTTAAAGATCCCTCTACAGATTTGTTTATATTTTGGCCATGAATACTTTTTAATCAAACAGCTGTTAATTTGTAAATTGTATTTTACACAAGACACATTAATAATTGGGAGTTACTGAATTGTCCAAAAGAAGCATTTTAATTTTCTTCTTTATCATGTCATGTTTTGCAATATAACGTTCGATTACGAAATCAGTGGAAAATCCTTTTATCACAGCAATTCTTAAATTATTTCTTATTGAACTATCTTATATTTATTGTACGGGTTGGTGTCTGCCTTTTTCACCACTTTTGCCTACATTTTATCATATTATTCTACACATATCAAATATTTATGTAGAAATATCTGCTCTCATCGTGTCTAATAAAATCCAAACATAGAAACCTTGCCTAAAATGGTACCCATCTTGACAAATTATTTGCACCTGCCTATATTACGGACTTTGGCACACTGGGTTGGTAACATTAATGAAAATAACACAACATTTTGGCTGTAAAATATGGTACAAAGAGAAAATACTATTTATGCAGCTCCTGTCATGACAGATAGGTCATTCCTTTTAAACTAGATCACATAATCCTTTATAAGATACGTTGATTAACAATATGTAAACGTCAATATATATGTAACAGCCAATTTACAGTAGTTTTGCTTTTGGGAAATGTCACATTGCTATGTCATTAGCATTATTTGTTGCCAATGAAGCCGCAAGACCATATGAACACAAGGAGGCCCCTAACAGTTCAAGAATAAAAGCCAACTTCACTTCAAGTATTCCACTACACCTAACAATCCGTAGAGAGATAATATTGACAACTTAATGTTATTGATAAGGATGAGACAACTAACTGACATCCCCCGTGTCAAGGAATTCCAGCTTTAACAGTAACCCCACTATCAATTTCTCAAAACAATGCTAGAGGGTTCATTCATTGGCACAGAAGTAAGATATGAACTGACGCGACGTGACGAAGGAAAAATCAAACTTACACTGTAACGGATATACCTCCCTTTAAAAGTAGAATATGTCTACCCAAAAAACATTTTCTTTTGAAATAAAATCATATTGCACTGATGACATCACGGAAGTGTTTACAAAAGATCCACCAATACGATTTTAATACTATTTAGAGGTTCTTCCAAATGAAGAGATACCATAATAATATAGTAAAAATAACTCCGATGACGTACGGTATGGGGAATATTTTATTCATTGAATGATCAACCAAATTTGGCAACTAACTCAATTAATATCATTATTGTTTTTACACCTATTACTCTTTAATCAATGCTAAATGCTCAAAATATGTATATTTCACCCAATTTATCGCAGTTAGATGAATTAATGTAAGTAACCGTCGATTTCGACGGGTTTCACCTAGTTGTATTTAATATGCATTCATGTGTTATGAAAGTAAGCAGGCAGCTGATTTTGCGGCCCTAGCGATGTAAAAACCTGCTCGGTCCCCAAAAATGACGATGACAGCTGGAATGGCCAGCAAAAGTAACTTTCAGCCACCAATTAACGTATGTAAAACAGCTGAAAACATCATAGTGTGGTGAAAAATCATAGACCCTCTTCATACAAATGTTAACATTAACAAAAAATAATCAAGCAAGCAAAACATTATATCAATAACAACATTACATCTGGCACAAATCACAGCTTAGGCAGTAGGCTCTTACACTACATGTCTATAAGTTTGTATGCTTCAACATGGATTGTACTTAAAGGTCAGCCACACATAGTACAGGTAAAATTATACTAAAAAACCAGAAGAAAACATAAAAATTAGTCCATTCATGAAACTTGCAGGAAACGTAGTAATTACCATTAGGTTTTGAAATCTGAAGAGTCCCTAGTGATTGTGGGATTGGAAGTACAATTTTATGGGGTTTAAAGTTTATGGGGGTAGTGATTATGAGACAATTTTTATTTATGGGATCCAAGCAAGTGAGGTGTCGTTTTCTATGTTTCTTAGGATGCAGAATCTAAAAATAACAAAATAAAAGCAATACAACCAACAGTTTATTAGAAAAAGACTAATTTTTTAATGAAAAACTAAATATGACTAATTAATTAAGGTAAAATAATCCAGTTAATATAAATTACTGTATTACAAAATTGACTATGAGTCTGTGTCATATGTTAAAGTTGTGAGGAAAATTAACCAAGAAACTGGTAGTTTCGCCTCTTTAACCACCACGTGTCATATTGTTCATCAGCTACTGATGCATCTTCACCATCCATGGAATGGTGAGAGGGTCTCTAACTCGTTCTTCTCCATCGTCATGGGTAGCATAAATATTTCAGTTCTGGCGGTGATCCAGCAACTTAGGGTGAAGATAATATATAAGACCAAGAATGTAAAAACCGCTCGGACCCCAATTTTAAGGACCTTGGTCGTCCGTAATGACGTCATCAATATGGTGATCGTAAGAGGATGCTGGGTCGCTATGAATTAATAAATGCCTGAACTGATTTTAATGAAATTTGGCATACAAGTGCTTGAATACGATATCTAATCCCAGTTTGTCAATGGTCGAGTTTGATTAGGTCATTTCAAAATGGCGGCCGTTAATCACTAAAATAATTAAAAATTTTTTAGTCTTTTGTTTTATCAACTCTCTCCAGAAATCTGCAGCAATCTTTTATTTTCCTTGCAATGACAGGTTGTGATGCCGTTTCTGCATTTCATGGAATAGGCAAAATACCCCCACCGCAGCAAACCTGCAGATTAAGTGAGTTTCCATTTGCCTGATTTGATTTTAAATTAAATCTATTTCCATAACCTAAAGTTTAAGTAGTGTTTACTAGGTTTGCTGCTACGGGGAGGGTAATAAAGTGTGTTTTTAATTAAAATATGAATAGGTTAAAATAAATAAATTTTCCAAGTTTTATCAAAATACAAAACTAGCAAAATATCCAATCATGGTATTTAAAATGGCTTAGAGAGAAATTCGAAAATTTTACGTTTAGAGGGGCAAACATGAGAAAACCCAATATTTTTACCCCATAAATCCCCCAGAAAACCCTGTTCTCATGGATCAATCATGCTGGTTCAAAAACTCGTTCGAGTAAACTTAGGTTTACACGTTTTTACCAAATTTCGTCAACAATGGGTCATTTTTGCTTGAGTTATCGTGCTAACGTTCTTAAAAAAGTCCACGTCTACAGTCATTAACGCTGTTAAAGTTTGATGTTATATCATATAGAAAAGTACAAAACATCTTTAGATTGATTTTAACGAGTTCGCAATCCAGCATGATCAGACCGTGGGAACGGGGTTTTTGGGGGGATTTATGGGGTCAAAATTGCGTTTTGTCATGATTAACCCTCTACTCATAAAATTTTCCAATTTCTCTCTAAACAATTGTGGATACCATGATGATTTTGAATACCTTAAAAACCAATAATTTTGTTTATTGAAGTGTTTTTGTACGAATATTGGTTACCTACCGAGAAAATGCCAAAATTGTAAATTTATCATTCTCATTTTATTCTTATGGAGAATAAGTAAACTGTTGTAAATTGCTCGTTTAAGGATATATTTTGATAAAACTTGGCAAATTTATTTATTTTGACCTTGGCTATTAATATTTCAATAAAAAACACACTTTATTATCCTCTCTGTATCAGCAAACCTAGGTACTAATTAAATTCAATTAAAATATATTTCATTGAAAATAAAATCAGGCAAATGGAAGCTCACTTAATCTGCAGGTTTGCTGCAGTGGGGGTATTTGGTATTTTGCCTATTCCAGGAAATACAGAGACGGCATCACGACCTATGATTGCAAGGAAAATGAAAGATTGCTGCAGATTTCTGGAGAGAGTTGATGAAACAAAACACTAAACAATTTTTAATTATTTTAGTGATTAACGGCCGCCATTTTGAAAAGACCTAATCAAACTCGACCATTGACAAACTGGGATTATATATCGTATTCGAGCACTTGTAAGCCAAATTTTATTAAAATCGGTTTAGGCGTTTTGGTGTTACAGTATAACCAATTCATAGCGACCCAGGACTCTCTTACGAGCGACATATTGATGACGTCATTACGGGCGACCAAGGTCCTTAAAAATTGGGGTCCGAGCGGTTTTACATTCTTGGTCTCATATATTATCTTCGCCCTAAGTCGCAGTATCACCACCAGAACGGAAATATTTTTCTGCTACCCATACTCACTTAGCTGTCAGTGTCAAGTCAAGACGTCGATGGAGAAGAACGAGCTAGAGACCCTCGCTATTCCATGGATGGTGATGATGCATCAGTAGCTGGTGAACAATATGACACGTGGTGGTTAAAGAGGCGAAACTACCAGTTTCTTGGTTATTTTTCCTCACAACTTCAACATGTGACACAGACTCATGTCCAGTTTTGTAATAATTGATATTAACTGGATTATTTTACCTTAATTAATTTGACATATTTAGTTTTTCATTAAAAAATTTGTCTTTTTCTAATAAACTGTTGGTTATATTGCTTTTATTATGTTCTTTTTCGATTCTGCATCCTAAGAAACATGGAAAACGACACCTCACTTGCTTGGATCCCATAAATAAAAATGTTCTCAAAATCACTACCCCCATAAACTTTAACCCCCATAAAAGGGTACTTCCACCCCCACAATCACTAGGGACTCTTCAGATTTCAAAACCTAATGGTAATTACTACGTTTCCTGCAAGTTTCATGAATGGACTATTTTTTATGTTTTCTTAGGTGAGTTTTACCTGTACTAACACTACTTAGAACACAATACAACAAAACAAGACAATTTGGTCCTGAAAAATGTGAATAACCTTAGAACAAATGCAAGAGGGGGGACTTGGGAGATAACAACGGTTTAGGTTAGTCAGGCCTGTCTCACAACACTCTAATGAACACTAAGCGACTATATGTCTAGTATGAGTAGTATGAGTGCTGTGGACAGGCTTCTAAGTGAGGCTTATGTGGTTAACTATTTGAGATAGAATGTATATTATGTACTGAGTGAATAAATTAAACAAATAATACAAATACGTTGTCAGCATTAATAAGCTAAGTAATAAACTGGGTGTCTGGTTATCTCAGAACTGCTGGCAAGGTATTTGTAAATATTCACTGTCATTATTGCAATATCAGAGCAAGTGCAATAAATTCTGAGTAGGTATAACTTAAATGGATAAATGAATTATTACACTGTTTGCTTACTTCATTAGAAATTAAAAAGGCGCACGTCATTCTTAGAGTTATATCTACAAAGAAATCAGGAAATTCATCGACTTCAAATACTTGGGGCAGTCTACCTCCGAGTTCTGGTTGTAGAAGACCTAACCTCCTCCATGCCAGAGCCATTTGCACTCCCCGTATCACCGCTACTCCCTTCCTGAGGGATTTACCGGGAGTGCTAGGAGGACTTGTTTGAGATTCTTTCCCTGAAATTTACATCCTAATTAACTGTACACTTACAGCTCAACATATTGTATTACACTTACATACAAAATTTGACTATAAACTTGTGTCTTAACTTTGTTAAATTATTGAAAATACTTTTGAAAATTTTTAGTTTGTTCCATTAATATAAATTATACAATTTAAAACTTTTTAACTAAATAATACAGTACAAATTTTTTATTGGAATTTTTACTATCCTGAATAGTTTAATTTCAAAGCTTCATTCTTGGTTGGATGAAATACTACATTCAAAACAAATTACGTGTAAAATATCATTAAAACCAAGTACTTTATCAAAGTCAGTAAAAACAGTCTCAGTAAAAAGGAGGTAAAAGTCAAGGTATTCATTAAGCAGGGGTTTATAAAACCTCTCTCTTAACAATTAAAATCATACAAATGCTATATGTATGGGGACAAAAATTTGGACCCTATAGTTTTGAATGCCAGCAAATCATGGAACAAAAATATGTGTATTTATATAGGTGCTTATGTAACCATTTATAAGGTAGGCTGCCCCAACTGCACAAACAATAGATTAGACGTACTTATAATGTGGAAACAGAATTAGATAATCTAATAAAATATTCAGCATTATTGTCACTTTAAAAAATATTTAATCATAGTAAATTGGTATCTGAAAGTGAAAAATTCATCTATAATAAGTATATTCTCCTTCAAACAAAAATATTAAAATGGATTACAAAGGAACTACTGTGGTTACCATGTACCATGATACAAAAAGGTAAGATTTTTAGATCTGACTTTTAAAAAGTCATTTTTGAAAGGTTGCTGGATTTGTATAAAGTACCAAGATGTTTTCATGACTATTTACTTTTAGTTTTCATTCTGATGTATTTAATAAATAAAAAGTCTATAATGTTATGAATTTCCAAAATTGAACTTATTGAATGAGTATATATAAAATGATGTATTCTTTTGTCATTATGTAAACTTACTGACAAGATCCATGCTCATGCTGACAAGATCCATGGTGAGGTCTGACTGTACTAAAAATGTTCTGATAGAGGCATGACAGGCTTACAGACTACAGCTGGTTGGTCCTGACAGTGTCTGATACCATCCACATGTCTGTCAGTACTGCCAGCCAATAAAATTATCAATCGTGTTCATTGGCATAGGCAGGCAAAATTTATTCAGCTATTTAAAACGCTACAACTGTAGCCCAAAACTACAACAATTTTTACACATGCCAAAGCCAGCACCAAAAACTTCATCCAGGTTTCATGCTTAAAAACAATAAACTACATGAAACACTAACGAGCTCTCAGATAGCTAACATGTTAATAAAATGGATGCCGGCCAACTTTGAGTTTACAGGACATGCTCTATTTCTGCGATATACGATATACAAACACGTTGCAAAAGTTAAATTGATCAGTATATTATCGGTAATGCTTTTTCCTAAAACTGTATTTAAAAAAAAAACAAATTACAGAAGCATTTTTTGTGAATTGAAGTTAATACGTTCGCTACTGCAATAGTACGAAATTTTTCATTCACATGGACCAGCGACGCACATATGCGACGGCCGGTTTCCACCCATAGACTGCCTTTGCATATTTGCGTCAGGGTTCTAATGTTATTAAAATGCTTATATCTTTGTAATGGTCTATTTGAAGGCACTGAATTCCCTGCAGTGGTCTACAGAGATGTCTGACGCACAACTGCGTCGCTTGGTCTGTGGGTGACGTCATATGATAGTTGGAAAAACTGGTCTTTACTTTTCTGCATCACTGTATGTATGTATGCTGCATAGGATAATACTTATATATAAACTTATATAGTAACTTTTGTATTTGTTCAGTTATAAACTGTTCTTGAATAATCTTTTTTTTTACTTACTTTCACCTCAAAACACAAACAAAAATGAACTGTCGCATATATGCGACGTCTGGTATATTTCAAGAAAACTATGATAGTTTTCACTATTGTCTTCGCTGTAGACCGGGCGTCGCAAATATGCAACATTACAAAAGGTTATAAAAAATATAAAAAAACAAATAAATTATTTACAAACACGATTGTAACGTATTACGATGTAAATGATCACTGTTTTACAGGTTTTCGCCTGTGGTCTGTGTGTACTGTTATCCAAGTGACAGCCGGTCTATGTGTAAGATTCAAATGTATACCTCGGTCTGTGGCAATGACCGCGGCATCGCATAAATGCGACGCTCAGTAGCGAACGTGTTAATGAGGATGATATATGTCTAGATGGTATGCTTAGTAGGGTGGTGCGTAAAAATTTAAGTTGAGAAATTAAAGTCTCTAGCCTATAGTGTGGAAAATTTAATGTTACATAAAAGAAAACAAAACAACATTTTTAAATCTGAGTTCATCTTTCAATTGCGCAATCAGCCAAAAAATAAAAAAAAATGTAAAAAAGTTTTACAAAAATTAAAAATGAATATATTTTTCTTACAGTTACCTGACACAGAAGGCTTCCTTGCACTGATTATAGCTTGCCAAGTAGCGAATAGCTGCATCAAATCAAATAAAATCAAAATCTCCTTTATTCATAAATGTACAAGTACAGTACAATGAATAGAGTCAGTGAGTCACTTATTGTCTATTCACAATATTTTAAATTGTAAAATTCCTCAAAGGAGTAAATTGCTTTTTCTACTAGAAATTTCTTTAGTTTAAAGTAAAATGTCCAACTATTACATTCATTTTTTATATCTTTTGGTTAAAAATTTATATATCTAAGGACTCTCTATACACTGTGTTTTTTAAAATAAAATTCTAAATTATGTCTGTTTTGTATAACATATTGTGCATTTCTGGTATCCTTATAATACGTGAAGGTGATTACTACGAAACACTACTCCTCCGTTAATAATGGACGGATTTTTACAAACGAGGTGTCAAAATCAAGTAATATTTGTGTAGACTCTCCCTTTCACCAATTCATGTAATAAAAGACCTCGGACTTTGCCCCACAGGCCATCAAAATCCCAATGTATTTCTTATGAGGAAAATTTACTAACCCAGCTGGTATGCTTCGTTCTGCTATTTAATTTTGTTTATTATGAAGATTTATTTCTTGGTGTCATGTGGTCAATGAATTACACTTTTGCATATATTGCAATACACTATATAAAGTTATGGCAAAACATTAAGAAATATGCATTTCAATAATTAATAAGTATGATTGAGCTTTGAATATATGTTTCATGGTAAGTGTGTTGTAACTGTTTCTTAAAGTAGGTTTAAAAAACCGAATTATTCTTTTCTTCATTCTCACCCCACAGCGAAGCACGGGCAGAGCAACTAGTTGTATCTATTACTGGTATTTCTACTTAATTCTAACTGTATTTTTGGTAAATGATGCTGTTTTGTATATTTTATTGTCTCGTATATATAAATTCCAAACACTGTTAGGATTTCCAAATTAGAAAAATGATACAGTACGATACACTTTCATTTCAATTTAAACTTAGCAGCATATAATCTAATAGCTTTCTTTTGTAACAGAATTATTTGATTAAGGTTTGATTTTGAGGTCCCTCCGTACACACTAATTACGTATGATATAAATGAATGTAAAAAGCATAATGCACTAGTTTTAGAGGTGAAAGATCACAGACATAGGACATCCTTCGAATAGCATACAAGCCTGATGAAATTTTGCCTACAACAAAAATGAGATGGGGTACTCATGCTGGACATGAGAGTCCCAACTTAAATTATTATCAATGATAATTCCTAAAAATGTTAAATCATTTACTTTATTAATTTTAGAATTAGTCTTCAAAATTGTCTCATTATTGTTTGTATTTTTATTTGTACCAAAGGAAAACTTTTTTATTTTCATTTAAAAGTAAATTTTTGCTGTTAAAAAAGTTTTTAATCTTGTTAATAGAGTGAGAATAAGAATTTTGTACAGTTTCGAGAGTTTTACCTGTCACTAAAAGGTGTTTATTGTCTGCATATAGGCAAACTTTGCTATCTGTTCCTGAAATAAAACTAGGTAAGGTAGTTTTATATAGCACAAAAATAGAAGCGGTCCTAGGATAGATGAACCTTGAGGTACTTCATACCGTACTTGATAGATTGCATTGTTGAATGATGAAATTGATAACATTTTTTTTACTAAGCCCTTTTGTGACAGTATATTGTTTCCTATCATTAAGATATGATTTAAACCATTCTATCTGGCGGTTTTTTATTCCTAAGGGTTGTAATGTTCTTATTAATTCTGAATTATTTACACTATCAAAAGCATGACGAGTAAGATCTAGAAAGATCCCCAAAGTTTTATATTTTTATCTATACTTTCAATTATTGATGTCACAAAATCTACACTAGCGGTTGTCGTTGTCCTTCCAGCCCTAAGCCCATGCTGATCTTAATCAAATAATTTATTTTTCTCTAAAAATCTACTAATTAATCGTACACAACTTTTTCAAAAATCTTAGAAAAATTTGATAGTAGTGAAACTGGACGATAATTGAGAGGATTGGTTTCTAACTTTTGCCGCAATAATTGTTGTACTACACTCCAGTATTCCAACCGAACAACACAAAACAGTATGCTTTTATTAGCTTTTATTATTTTAGTAATATGTGCTTGAAAATAAGTTGGCAACACTTATAGATACTTTGACATAGATCAGCTGGTGCAGCATTCCCCTTCAACCTTGGATTTAACCTAACCTAAAACTGTGTTTTATAATGTTTGAAAGACCAACTATTTATATGATTTTTAGTAACTGTAGGAAAAATATAAACTGTTGTTACATTAATAACTATTTTGTACTTTTTAAATTCCTATAGCACTTTTATTTAGGCCTACTTTAAGATCTGAAAAACTGTAATAGATAAATTATCTTCTGGGAGTATTTTTTCTGTTCCAGCAATTCCATGAAAATAGCAAAAATCAAGATTTTTGGTCACACTTCATCAAATTTTTGGAATAAAAATGCCATGTGATGCATATTTGTTTATTTTGAGTTGAGAGCCAATTAATTGTGCAGCTCTTCCCTTGTTTTGATATTAATAATATCAATATATCAAATATCTCCACCGCAGCAAACCTGCAGACTAAGCAAATTTCCATTAACCTGGCTAGATTTCTACTAAAATATTCCTGTAAAATTGTCAGATTTATTTCCTAATATATATAATATATAATTTTAATGAGTAGTTAGGTTTGCTGCTACAGGGAAGGTATTACGATGTGTTTTTATTAAAATGTTTATAGCTTAGTATGAAATAAATAAAATTGCCAAATTTATTTAAAATATATCCTTAATCAAGCTAACTACACAGTTTATTTATTCTCGTTAAAAATTACATGGGAATTTTAAATTTACAATTTTGTATTATCTCCTTAACCGTTACATACAACAAAGCTTCAAAATACAAAATTATTTAGTTTATTAAGCTCTACAAAATGGTTTAGAAAGAAACAAGAGCTGAAAACTCGACCAAAAGTATGTGTTGTGCAAACTTCTCTATTTTCACCCCACGCTGTAAATAAAACATGTGATTGGAATATCTTCAATTTGTTTTGATTTTCTGTTTATATTCTGTTGTTATTTCGTCACCAACATGGCAAGGCCCATGTTAATTTTTTGTAATTTTAAATTATTTTTTTGAACTTATTTTCTAGCCTATTTTAATTTATAAAGGGATTCTGCACATCTATAGGCAAATATCGTTCAAACAGTATGCGTAGATTTTCCCTATGATGCACAGGAGATGAGAAAAATGGTTTTCAATAATCATGCTTGTTTATTAATTAATACGGTATAAATATTTAGCCATATGTTAAATCTCCACAAGTAAAGTTTAATTTCCATTTTTAACCCAATTAACATAAATATTACCCAAATACAAATAAAACCTGCATAAATAAGACCGATAACCTATTCTTTTGGTACAACCCGCATGTAAATCGGTCCAGTATATCGGTCAGGAAATCGGTCAGGGTGGCTGTCGTAAGCTTAAGATTTTGGCCCCATGTTA